TTTTTCTTTTTTGAAAGGCGGTCTCAGGACCGTCCTTAATTAACTAATCGGTTTTCGTATTTCAAGGCGGCAAGTCACTAATATAAACACTGCGAAATTTCAGTGCCTCGTAAATCTCCAGCTCAGGGACCCCGCGCGCGCGCTGCAAGCGAGAAGCTGGGTTTTGTCTCGCGCTGGCGGGCAGCCCTCCGCAACCCGGCTCTGGAGGCGCCTTTTCGGCTCAGGCGGGCCGAGAGCCCGCCCGGAGTCCACAAGGCCGCGACTCCCGGCAGGGTAGGGTGCGGGAGGCCGGCGCGGGGCGCTCGGTTCTCCTCTCGCTGGGTGTGGGACCCTGCTGTTCTCTGAGCGCCCATCGGGCTCTGGGCTCCGAGCAAGACGCGAGCCCCAGCGGGATCCTCTCCGTCCCCCCAGGACAGCGCGTCTGTGTGCTTTGGGAGGGGACCCCCCCCCCCGAAGTCCTTGCTTCTCAGTGGAAGGATGGAAGCCCGGTGGGGGAGACCGGGAAGGAAAACGCAGCGGAGAGGCTTTGCTCTTCCGCCTCAGTAAAATTGGGAGAAATGAGGAGGCCGGGTGCCCAAACCAGGAGTGGCTGCGGTGGAATGTCTCTTCCCTTTGGGTGACTCGGGACTTTGCTAGTCACTACAGCTAATTAGCAGGGGCTCTGTCCTCCCCTAAGAGCCGGGCCCAGCAGCATCTACTCATTCCCTGGAGCCTTGCCCAGCTCTAGGAGTTGGGACCTCGGGAGGCCTAAGTTGTGCTGGATGTCCGAGTCTCCCCAAAAGGTCCACTGGTGCTTTTCGAGACCCCAGAGAGCCGTGTTTCCAGAAGGCCAGGACAAGGCCAGGTGCCAGGAGTTGGCCGGCACCTCCATCTCTCCTTAGCAGCCCCTGGAGTCTGGGGCACCCGGCCAAGCACCCAACACTCAAACTCCAGGGGTCTGTGGGCCCCAAGTCGGAAGGCAGGCCTGCCCCAGTGCCGCAAAGCAAAGCAAAGCACTCGTGTACTCAGACACCAGCCACTGAAAGCAAATACTTTCTCAACAAGAGTGCTCTCTGGTGAGATAATTTATTAGAAACAAAAAGAAATGACCTCTCCTGCTTCCCGGGCGGATGAGCTGCGGAGCCTCTAAGCACTGCGGTCTGGAGGGGAGACAGCCGGCAGGCAGGGGGGAGGAGGGGGTGCCCAGCTACTCAGACACAAAGTGACACTCTGTCCTCTGCTCCTCCCCGGAGTATGAAGAAAAGTGGGTGGCATCTCCCCTGGCACTACAGAAGGGAGTGAAAATTCGAGGTGTTTTTTCAGACAGCTCAGACTAAAATGTCTCTGACAGGACACTTTCTGAATTTGCTGGAGCAAGATTTCGGACCCCCCTGCCCCCCCCCATGACTGCCTGTTAGACAAAGACTTATACATCGAAGTGTTGCATGCACGCAGTTCTGGGGTTTCTATGGTTTCGTTTGCTCCAGCTGCTCCAGCTGTCAGAGGTTCGAAACCACATCCCAAGGCTCTTGCTAGGGATGGGAGGAGTCCGCCCCATGCCACCTGGGGACCTGTCCCCTTTTGCCACCAGGGCAGCCTCTCCGGGAGCCTATCTCAGGTGGGGCACTGCCACTTCTGGGTTGGTCTCCTGCTCAAGTCGGTATTTGGGGGGGGTGTTGGGGGGATGGCCTCAGGTAGGTACCGGGCACGGCACGCCTGGCAGAAACCAGAAACGGTTGAAGAACATCTGAAACAGAAAATCCTAGCAGATGTCGGTAGGGTGCCCTGGGCCCGCCCCTGCTTCTTGGAGCCCCAGTTTCTCCCAGATCAGTAACTTAAAGGAAACTTTCTCAGAGGTGGGGGTAGGTGAAGGCACAGCACCTCCATGTGTGGCCAAGTGCTGGCGCTGGCCGCAGGACCCACTGGAGCTGGACTCGGCAGGCTGGCCGGGTGGAAGCTCCCCGTCTCCATCGACCAACCACTGTGCCCATAGTCGTCTTCCATCCCGGCATCCTTTCCAGATTCTTCTGGGCCAGAGGGTGGTGCCCTCAGCTGGGGGGAGGCCGTGAAAGGGGGGAAGAGCAGGATACCTGGGGCTGTGGGGTCCTTTGCAAAGCTGGTCTGGACACCCCAGGCCAGGCACTGCTGCTTAGGCCCAAAGCACAGGCCCGGAGTTACTCCTGCAGGCTGGATGTGAGGGACAGGGCAGGTGTCCCACAGCAGCTGCCAGCAAGGCTCCAGGTCACCCCTAAGAGCTTGTTTAGTGGGTACTGGCCTAAGTGTCTGGCGCCTGGGGCCAGGATCCCCCTCTGTAGGCACCTGGGATGGTCCCAGCCAGGCTCAGATGCCTGCGCGACACACAGATGGCACTATTCCCCCCACCTGGCCTGGCAGCTTAGAGGGTCTGGCACCAGCTCCTGAGTACTTCCTGTGGTGCGTCACAGCCCAGGCCTGTCCGGGGTGAGTCCGCAGTGCACGTGGCCTGAGTGGTCAACGAATGGGGGGGAGGTCTGCAGAGGAGGGGCAGGTTTGAGACACCAACGCTTCCACACCCACACACCTGCGCCTTCAAACGCTCCCCCACGCTGCCCGCAGACTCCTCATTCCGGCTCCCGGGGCGCGGGGAGCCGCAGCTATCACTGTGCAAGCCAGTGAGAGCTCAATTTCCTCTTCCCGTAAAATCCGGGAAATTTGGTCAGAGGAAACTTTCTGTTCTTGTTGCTTGTCGGGTTTCTCCCGCTCCCACTTAGCCATGTTTCTGCGATCTGGGTAATCCCTTTCAAGCCCGGGAGGAATTCTCCCGGGTCCATAACTGAGACTCGGAAATCACTGGGGTGAGGGGAGCGTTAAATCCTCCCGAAGCCGGGAGGTGCCGGAGCTCACTCGCCGGCGGGCTGGACGCCCGCGGAGGAGTGCAGCCGACAGTCCCTTCCCCCAGCCCCCAGGCTGGGAAGCCCCGAAACCACCGCCGGCTCAGCCGGGCCCGGCTTCCCAGCGGGCAGCGGGCAGCGGGCAGGGGCCAGCGGGCCCGCGCCCCGCGCCCCGCGTTAGGACAGGCTTACCCGCGCGGTGGGCGCTCGGCGCGGCGGGGCGCGCAGTGGGCGCCGCGGCGAACCCAACAGCGTTCCTGCGTTCCTGCGTCTGAAACCCCAAGGGAAGGTCCGGCGGTGGGTGGGGATCCCGCCACTCCTAAGCTCGCGCGGCTCGGTGACTGCGGAACCCCAGTTCTACGAGCAGAAACCCTGGCTCGGGGTTCTCTCTGCGCGCACTGCTCCGCCCACCGAGGGAGCCACGACGCCTCCAAAGCCCTCCAACTTCGGACCCTCAAAGGGGTCCCCGGAAAAGGTCAGGAGCGCTGGCCGCGGCGGCGATCCGCTCAGTGAGCGGGACGCGGGCGCCGGTCCACGTCCCGCAGCCAGTGAGCGCCCCAGGAGGTCCCTCCAGGGCGGGCGACGAACGAGGCGCCGAGGCCGACACCCAGACGCTCCAGGGCCCCGAGGCTCCCCTCCCCCACGGCTCCAGGTTAGGCCCCGCTGCCCCCGGGACCCGGACGCGGCGCCTGCGATCACGGTGGCTGCCACTGACCCCCGCGCGTGGGGGAAGCTTGCGAACCCCCAGCCCGCGCGCCCACTTCGCGACTGAAGGGGTGAGGGGGTGGGGGTTTGTGCCACAGCCCGGCTCTGGATGCGCAGAGCTCCCCTTTCCCCCAGGGGTTGCGGGCGCCTGGCGGAGGCAGGATATTTGCGGCTGGGCGCGACCCCGAGGGAGGACGCTGGGACGCCGCGTGAGCCCGGCTGCAACCGCGCCGCCCCATCCCTGCCGTCCCCGGCCCGTCCCCTCGGCTCTCCGGCCCCGTCCCCTCGGCCTCGCCCAGTGCCCGCCGGGGACCCTTCGCCCGGATGGACCCGCCGCTGCCGCCATTCTCCCACATTCGGGCCGCGCTGGCCGGACTGCAGCGGTCCCGCCGCCGCCGCCAGGGCGAGGCCGGGCCTCGAGGTGACGCTCCCGGCCCCGCTCTCGCTCGGCCCCGCGCGTCCTGCGGCCTCCGGCCACCCCCCGGCAAGCGCCGCTGTCCTCTCACCGTGTTTACAGGAGGGGGCGGGCGGAAGGGTCACTTCCGAGCCTTCGAGCCTTCGCGCGCGCCGCTCCCTCCTGCCCCCAGCCCCTCGAAGTGGGGGAGAGGGGGCGCGGCAGCTTCGCGTGCGCGGGGTCCCGTCCCCACCGCGGGCCCAGCCGCCCGGAACGAGCCGGGAGTCG